TTTAATAAGTAGCAACGGAAAAAAAAATTAGGGTTGGGGAGTGGGGGTCACCGCAACATGAAGAACTGTATTAAAGGGTCGCGGCATTAGGAAGGTTGAGAACCACTGCGCTAGAGGGAAATCGGGAGGCGCAGCGGGCGCTAACGGAATAGGAGATTACAAAATTCTTATTAGAAATTTCATCATTTAAAAAAAAAAAAAAATTGGTTAGGCCCCTAGCCTACATTTCACAATAACAATTTAATAGAACTTTTCGTTTAATAAATTAAGCAATTTATTTTTTTTAGAAAATGCAATCACAAGATGAAGATGTCTCAGCTAGCAGAACTGAAAAAGTCATTGCACTCGTACGAAATCTCTGGCGTTTGTTGTTGGACTACGTCGGTGCCACCGAGGAAGCTTCCAAATGGTGGAAATCTGTTTTTGAAAGAAGAATTCTTGTAAGTATTTGTTAACTATATATTATACGCAAGCGTTTCCCAAACCCGTACGTTTATTATTATTATTTTATTTTTTGACCTGGTAAAACAAGTTTCCCCATTGCACCAGGGACCAGTGCAAGATTTATTAATTATTTCTCTTGGTGACAAGACTGTATCATACCGTTTTAAGGCTTAACAAATTTAATCTGTATAGTTTTAAGATGTGGCTCGTTAGATGAACAATCCGTTTTTAAAAAAAAAGGACTTAAAACCAATATACATATTGTATTACAAAGGAAAACGATACCAAAGCGACTGATATTAACAATAATGAATTGAATTTGAATAATACAATCAAGTTGATAAAATTACAAAATAAAATATACCAGAATAAAACAATCTTTTTACAGCACAGCAAGGGGAAAAGTTTAATATTAGGAATTACATAAATCAATCCACAAACACACACAATGAAAAATACTGTAAGTTTTAAAGGGCTCCAAAAGTCTGGTAAGTCTGTCCGTGATACGTCTGCCGGTTCCGGTCGACCGTCGTATTGATACCGAGGGAGTCAGAACCCTCCAGAACAGAAAGTCTAGAAATTCAAACGCAAGAGAGTCGTTTAATGTAGACCATTTTGGAAACATTAAAAAACTTCAAAAAAAAAAAAAAAAAAAAAAAAAAAAAAAAAAAGTCAAGGGCGATGGTGGGAAAAGGTGTTACCGAGTTAATTGGTGACGTCAGTAACAAAACAAAAGGGGAAGGGGGTTCACGGCTAGAACTATGTCAGCACACAGGCTATAACAAGACTCACAGTGAACGAAACATTATGTTTACTCGCATTCAGGTGCTATCGCTTTAATTTGTGCAGCCACCACGGAATACCATCCGAACATACACCAATACAAAATTTGAAATTTGAAATACAGGCCGTACAGAGGCGTGGCTAGAGTTTTTGGCGTCCGGGAACGAGATTCATTTTAAAGCACCCCCCCCCCTTTTTTCTTTTTTAAACTCTCAAACCCATTATTTTCTTCAATAAAATAATTTCAAAACACATTCGGAATACCATCCGAACATACTCCAATACAAAATTTGAAATTTGAAATACAGGCCGTACAGAGGCGTGGCTAGAGTTTTTGGCGTCCGGGAACGAGATTCATTTTAAAGCACCCCCCCCCCCTTTTTTCTTTTTTAAACTCTCAAACCCATTATTTTCATCAATAAAATAATATCAAAACACATTTTGGCGCTCCTGACTGGTCTGGCGCCCTGGAACAGCTCACCCCCCCTGCCACCCCCTTCCCCTTAGCGACGCAACTGAGGCCGAATTTACCAACTATGTAATAGATCGTTGAGCACTTTGAATATATTAGAATTCGTTTATTTGTTTGTAGAGCAGCACATGGCCATGCAAAGTGGAGGGGGGGGGGCATGCGCACTGTGGGTGGGATTTATTCACAGGTAAATCCAAGGTTTCAAAAGATTTGATCACATGGCTAGAGTCATATATGCCGGCAAATTTGTAACGATTGACTAGAAAATTGTATCTTAAAAGTCCGATCATTAGGACAAGAGCAAGCTGAGACAACAGGTCTTCAAGGACTTCCCTCCTTTTGAATTTTGGGTAGCAAGTATAAGGATGGATTTACCAAGGTTGAAAATTTGATGAAGAAGTTGGTAATCGCCCAACATGTGTGAGATATTTTGATGTCGCGTGGTAAAACTGGACAACGACTGTGACGACTGCTTCTCTATATGATACATTCACTTTCAGGGAAGTATCTCACTAATTTCGTAAGCAAGGCCAGATTAAGAAAGCCTTTTGGCTCCAGCTTTTGACCTAGCTGTCATTTGCTCTGTCAATTCCAATCAGTGAATCGTTATGTACGCAATGACCTTGCCGCGACTTATTATTTACCCTGTAGACATAATATAATTTACACTACCTCTGAAAAGCAGACCATATACTGGGCCTAATTTTGAGCAAGTTTATAATAAACTCAGCGGAAAAACCAGACATGTCACAAAATTTCATTTTTGAGTTATCCCCCTTAACCGATTCAGCTCATAATAAAGCTTCGGATGACACTGAAAACTACTGCAAAAATCACCTCATTTACGAGTTATCGGGGATTTAAAATAGTGCATACTTTGGAGGAACCAGACATGTCCAGTAAAAATGTAGAAGAAAAAAATCTAAGTAGCCTCCCTTAGTATCACGTGATGTGCTTAACCAATGGCAAGTAAGGAAAATGTAAATAAATAAAGAATGTAGGTCAAATGTCCAACGTGGAAATTACACAATACATTAACGGCTACTATTACTATTGTTATCTAATATAATCTTAAAGAGAAAAAAAAATGGAGAAAGAAAAAGAGGTTTAAGAAGCAAAGTTTTCTAGACATACATTTGGTAAAGATAGTCATCGTGCAATGTTTATGTGATTAGAATGAAAATGATGAACGCTTACGGTTACGATTAGGATTAAGTTTATTCGTTAGTCTACTTTGCCAGTGTATCAGTATTGTGTTTCTTAGAGTAAGCTCAGCATGCTTATTGTGTTACGATGTTACATTTCTGTTAAACATTGCCTCTGATAAATGATAATTGTCCCAAAAAGGCAATAAAGAAAACAGCTGAACAAAAAGTATGCTCGTCTCCTGCTTCATGCATCGTTTTAATCAGACTCAGACCACTGACGGCAGACGGCAGTGATGAGAACAATATAATGATTTACAGCATATTTTGTGCTATTGCATGTGATCCTTCCCGATTAAAAGCTGTTAAACGTACTATAACTACCTTTATCTTTTCATTGTTATTGAAAATGCAGGCCATAATCTCTTTTTTTTATTTGAATGAAAATCACTACCCTTATGTCTTATGTACTACTGCTAGTGCTAGTGTGTATAACAATAGCATAAAACAAGCATATTCCAATTTCATCAACTTCAATACCAGTTCAGGGTCATGTGTTACATATAATTTATAAGAAACTGAATGGTAATGACATTGTGAAAGTATAAATTTGATATAATTTAATACATTATCATTGACTCATTGCACCAACAGTACAAGATATCAGTGGCTTGTACACTGAAACGCTGCTTTGGCATTATATTTTTTTGTAAAAATTATAACTTTTAATTATTTTTATTTTGTAAAATAACAGGGTGTTTTCGGCCTCAATTGGTTTTATTATTAAAAGTGGTCACTTAAGTTGACTTTGTGATGAAGTAGATAAGTGTTGGCCTATTAAAAGCCATAAAATATGGTTTTAAAAAAAAGTTTTCCATTTTCAGTGGAAAAAGCAGACAAGTCACAATTTTGGGTCAGCCCGGTAAAAAGCTGTAAAAATTTAGTAAATTGTCACAAAATATTTAATAACTGATATATTTTGAAAGTAAAATGGTATCACTAACTACAAACAAAATTATAGCATTTTATTTGAACAAGTGAAAATATTGGATACTTTCAAACTTTAAAATCCACTTTTCTCAAAATCTTCAAAATGTGACATGTCTGGTTTTTCCTCTGAGGTCTTCGTTTCTGATCCCCTACATATCCCCTGCATACATATGCCAAATCAAACGCAGACCAGTATTTAAAATTATTATTATTTTTTAAAGCTTCAACTGCCTTGCATATTTAAAACTATTATTTCATACATCATATATAGTTCAAATTAATTTACATACTAAGTTATTATTCTTATACTCTTCTGATTCGCAGAAAGGTAACGTGGGTGTTGGGTGGAAATGGCAAAGGAACCCAGTAAATGATATTCTATGGGAGTTTGAAAGTTTTGTAGAAAACATGTCTCAAGAGGACTTATCGACGCCGAGACCGTTAGAGCACGTAACAGCTGCGACCAAGCCTGTGAGCTCTTCTCAAAGCGGCTCCGAAGAGAGCTGCATAGACCAGGATTCCGTTCCCCAAAAGATGAACACAAACTCAAATAAAGACAGAGTTCGAAAGGTCAGCAAAATCGCAAATCATTCTCAGCTAAACGAATTATATTCAGATTCTCCTCAAGCAAACCTGCGTCAAGTTGTCGGCCACTTTCAATCTCTCATCTCGGGAGACGTTGTTTTAAAGAAGTTGTTGAGGGAAATAGAGTCGGACGAAGAAGCGGGTCGTTTTGAAGATGGAATAAATGACACTGTCGTCACTAAGCACCAATCTGGCAACAAGCACAGGCGCAGCAAAAGCGACGCATTGTCTTCCCGTAGAGGACCCTTTTCCGCAGTTAAACCAAGTCCCAGTTTACCCAGCCTCGTCTTTGAAACTAGTAAAAATGTGACGTACATTGAAGATTTAGATGTTGCCGGGATGATTCCAGACACGTATGAGAATGACCTCGATAACTATGCGGGAGAATTACTGAGGAGTTTCAAATATTCCGATGACAACAATCAATTTCAGCTTTGTAAAGATAATGTCGATGACACCCCGTGCGTCCCGGTTGGGAACAACCGACAGGAGAATCGAGAGTTCCCATTTCCATTTACTCCCGATAGCCCGTCCAGGCACCGTCGAGCGCGACGTTCCAAACACGGTGTGTACAGCACGGATAATAGAAGCGAGCCGCGGGCGCCAGACCGAAACGAGTCTGGCAACTTCAGCATCCTCGGATTGGAACAGGGAAGCAGCCTGACCACCAAGGAGAGTGACGTGGACGCCGTGGAGCGCCCGGTCCTGCTGGACTGCCCGATCCCAGACTGCAGTGTCCCCGACTGTTTACTAAAATCCAGGAGCATGCAGTCGGAGAAGCGAAAGAACACGCTGTTCCCGCCCCCTGCGAGCATCATGAAGCGCATCAACGACACGCTCCGCAAGATCATCATCAACGACGACACGCCCGTCTTCATCAACAAGCCCGTGACCCGCACCAACATCGTCGGCGTCGACATCTCACACAAGGTCAGGAACCGCAGTTCGTACAAGGCGGGCCTCAAGAATTCCAAATCCGTGGATCTGAACTCGTTTTTGGAGCCGGTCAAGTTCGACATTTCCATCAAGCCGCAGACCGGTCCGGCGAATCCGATAGAAACCATCCAGCGCGGTCTCGGGTTTGAGAAGCTGAAGCTGCCCAAGGAGCCGAGCAACATCGTATTGCCGACTGAGCCTCAAGGTAAGTTAAGGACTAGTTAGCTTCTGTAGTTAGCCGCTATAGTTGGCCTCTATAGTCAGCTGCTAAAGTTAGCTGCGATAGGTAGCTGCTATATAACTGATGAAGTTAGCTGCAAACGTTCGCTGCTTTAGTTAGCTGCTAAAGTTAGATACTAATGTTAGATGCTACAAATAGCAGCTGAAGTTAGCTGCTATAATTAGCTGCTAAAGTTAGCTGCTAAAGTTAGCTGCTAAATTTACCTGCTGCTGTTAGCTGTTAAAGTGGGTTGCTAAAGTTAGCTGCTAATTTTAGCTGCCAAAGTTAACTCCTACGTTTAGCTTTTAAAATTAGCTGCTAAAGTAAGATACATCTTCTAGGGTCCCATTTTTGTTTTAGGGGAACTGGTTGTGAAATGTGTATAGTGTCACCACATTCGGAAAGTTTGTAGAGGACATACACTGACGGATTTTGGTGACTGGCAACTGGTTGGGGGGGGGGTCAGAATTTACAGATTCCTTTGGGGCACTTATGCCCTAGCGTTGAAAGAGGGCGGGGCGATTCTGCCCCGAGACCATTTTTTTTCCTTCTATATACAGAGGGGTGGCATTTTCTGTCCACCGCATACTTTTTAGTGGGGAGGGGAGGGTGGCGAAAAAATACCGGAAGTCACATTCCTTATTATAGCTAAGTCACTGCACTTATATTAAGTTCATTAGTTTGTCTTTCTCTGTTTTAACTTTAGATATTGCCGTTTGTTCTTTTTGGATGGCACTGCGACCATTTTGTTCAATGTTGTATCTCGTCAAGAAATAAGTCCTTTTGTTAAAAAAAATAAATAATTGTTTTAAAACATTCAAGTCTTATTATTGTGTCTTGGTTACTTTGAAATAAAGTCCACACCCGTAAGCTTTAATAAGGAATCAAGTCTCTCAAGGGTTAAAAACGGTAAAGCTTCACACCTTTTAATAATGTCACTCACAATGTTGTTAAATAAAACGAGAAATTCAAAAACATCATGAAATACTTAATATTTCAGAGGCTTCATCTCCAATATGGCAACAGTCTCTCGTGAAGCTACGCATTGCCGGCCAATGGTTGAAGTCACAGCTGAGTCCTGGCCCTTCCTATGACACCACACCTGCAATAATCACTACTTCTGTCAGAAACCCTCTTCATGACTCAAAAATTGACCTTTCAGATGTAAATATCTATCGCTACATTCGTTTAATGAAAATGTAGTCCTAGTGCTTCGTAGGCATGTTAACCCCCCCCCCCACCCACACACCTTTTTTTCCTGTCCTGGCCCTTCCTATGACACCACACCTGCAATAATCACTACTTCTGTCATAAACCCTCTTCATGACTCAAAAATTGACCTTTCAGATGTAAATATCTATCGCTACATTCGTTTAATGAAAATGTAGTCCTAGTGCTTCGTAGGCATGTTAACCCCCCCCCCCCCACACACACACCTTTTTTTCCATGCATCCTTCACTTACAAATGTGAGAATTTGCCCATGCCCCATGAACTGAAATGCTGTACAATTTACAGCATCTGAACGTATCTATTGTAAGCTCTTACAGTTTCTCCATGGCAGAATTCAGTTTTTGATTGATCGATTATAAATGGACAAATTAATATGTTTGATTTTCTTTGGTAGCTGCCAGTTTTTCAAGAGAACTCCGTACTATTGACACAATATTTTTTTTTAGTACAATTTGGTTATGAAGAGGCATTCATATGTTGTTAACTTAATTAATCAAATATGGGAATAAGATTTAAAATTATTTATAAAGAGTAGCCTAGGTTTACTAACTGGATCACGTTATACACAGGTTCCGTGCCTTTTCTGAGTCGCCACCAGCGGCGAACTTAGGGGTGCAAACTGGGAGACCGCCCCAGCTGGCACTTTGTGTATGGGGGGGGGGGGGGGATAGGGTATAATCGATTTTCTGATATAGGCCTATTGAATAATAAACTTAAGTGAAATTTGCTTTTGCAATAGAAAACGATTTCTGTTCAATCCCATCTGTGTATTTGTGATTATTAGCTAAACCAACAACAACAGGGACAACACATAAAAAAATAGATTCAGGACTATAAGATTATTCCATCTTAATTAAGAAACGGATAAAAAAAACATTCTTGAAGGTTATTATTTTTTTTAGTTAGCTCAGTAGTCGGCAAATCGCATGCGGCTCTTTAAGCGACCTGAGTGCGGCTCGGCCAGACGACCACAAATCGGTTTTGACTCCGGAAAAAAATGGTCTTGACAAGAAATGTGTCTCTTAAATTTTTTTTAAAATCCTGTCCTTTTGCTGATTTTCTTTTTTGTGTGGCTCTTTTGAGGAATGAGTTTTCCGACCACTGAGTTAACTGATTCATTCAGCGGCTCCAGTTGGGTTCGTGACCAGTGCGTGGGTTCGGAACCAGGGATCTAATAGATGCACCAATTCAACACTTTTAAGTAACATTTTGTTTTCATCTCCACATCAGACCCAGTTCTGCAGTTTGTACTACCTGACGGGACGGAAAGCTTACCTCTACTACAAGCTGCTGACAATGGCATGTACATTTTTTTTTTTTTTTTTTTTTTTTTTTTTCTTTTTTTTTTTTTTTTTTTTTTTTTTTGGTTTCTGTGGTCTGTAACAAAAAAGATCTGGAATATTTCAACAATACTGGTTACTTTCAAACAAATTATAATACGTTCCAAATTTCTGAATTTTTAAATCATGTTTATCAGTCTTCCATCTTAATTGAGAATGCAAGCATTAAACTGAAAGGCAATCTTTATTCGGGAACTGGCCGGCCATTTCTGAAAATGGACAATGTCGCTGTAAATTGACTGGCCAAAACTAGAAATGGACAATGTCGCTGTAAATTGACAGTACAAATCTGAAAATGGACAATGTCACTGTATATTGACCTCAAAAATCCAATATTTTCTTGATTTTACGATTTGGCATGAGGTGATGGGCCATGTTCATGGGAGGTGATTGACCAGGTTCATGAGAGGTGATAGGCCAGGTTCTTGGGGGGTGATCGGCCAGCTTCATGGGAGGTGATGCGCCAGGTTTGAGAACCTCTTATCTAAATAAAGGAATATGACTTTCCAGATGATTGTTGCATTCCTTTCCTAAAACTAAAGCCATGTGCAAAAAACAACTTTGTTTATCAACACCACAGAACCAATAGGGTTATACTTAACATTAATGAAATAGGAAAACTTATGAGATTATAAAATGGAAGAAAAAGTTGTATGGACTTACAGTGAAGAGGGAAAATACATGGGCAGCACATGCGCGGACGTGGAGTGTTTTAGGATAGGGTGGCCTTGGAGGCCTGGGGGAGGGGGTGGAAGTACTGGGAGAAATGATCTACATAGAGTGTCAGAGGTGATGGAATGGCATGAAGGGACATTGAGAAGACAAGAGTTCAGAGGAGAGAGAGGCAAACAAAAAAAAGATTTTTTTATGGCTCAAACATCTTTTGGACCAACTTTGTGTGTCTCTTAAGCTGCCATTTACACTGTGTGACGATAGTTGGACAAGTTAGTTCAAATAAATATGCTATAAAGGGTTAGTATTTTTTTGTTTCGCTATCTCCCTTTCAACGCCACGGACGTCATTTTCGGTCCCCCCCCCTCCCCCAGAATTTGCACGTTTTATTTAAATTGCTTTGTACTGTGGTGCCTCTAATAATAAACAGCTTAACAAGCCGACCAATTTTTGGTACCCCCCTCCCACCCCCCCCCTCCCTGAAAAAACCCTGAAATGACGCACCTGTTCAACGGCCGAGTTGTTCGTTTCTTTTTGTTTGTTAAATATAGGCTATGCCTAATTGAGGGTTGCATTTAATCTTACTTGTGGACATCACAATTTTTGTTCGGCATACACAAAAAAGAAAAGCCGTTTGATCGGGTGTGATTGTGACATCATCAACTGATGTTAGAAACAACAGGTTTGTCATTTTCATTATGTTCTTCAGACAGAAGCAAAATACAGGATCAATGAACTGATAGAGGAACGAGAGAAATTGTTGCGAATCTACGAGTGGAAACAACGGACTCTTATGGAGGTGGTAAAAATAGCGAGAGGTGAGTGACGTTATTTTGTTGTTTTTTTTAAATCCTTTATATTAGCTTCATTTTGTTTGTTCGTATGTTTCTTTCTTTCTGTCTGGGTGTGTGGCAAAGTCTTCAGTCGTCTAATTGACTCACTTCCTGAAAACCTATCAAGCTGAAACTTGGCACATAGACTCGTTGCCGATGACAACACATTCTTTAAAATTTTCAGCCCCAACCCCCAAAAATCTGGTGGGTTTTTCAAGGGGAAGATGAAGGAAATATGATGACACTGATTTCCAGAAAACAAATTCCCGCTAACTGTGCTAAATGAGATTCTTACAAGTATCGCAAGTGCTTTTGGTGCGTAATATTTTCTTTTGTTTTTTCTGAAATGGTGTAATAAATCTGCGGTGTAAAAGCGAGTGGGTCATTAGAATATTAACATATTGAGAACGATGCTACTGTGAACTCGACATAGGTCGAAAGCTTCAAGGCTGCCCTGGCATCAGCAAGGAGCTGTTAGAATAGCAACACCATGCCCCCAACCGTTGCAAAGATGCCAATACATGGATGCAGCAACGAAACATTACCAGAACCAGAGAAGAAAATGTATGGTTACGACTCTGGTTGGGGGGGGGGCACTATAATTGAGATTCTTAAAAGTGCGTGACTTGAATACATGTTTCGTCAAATTTTCAACCCCACGCCCCATTGATGAAAATTACATTTCATAAATAAGAAATATATATATAAGAAAAACTTTGTTTTTAGGGGTTATTTCATTTATAATTAAATCTATGTTAGTTGTATTGAGAGTATTGTGAAATATCTTTGGGAGACATATTGACTTGAGAAGATTTATTCAAATATAAAAGATATATTTTACTATGATGGAGTTAATATATCTTCTTTC